TTCCTATCGGTATCCTTTTATTTCTTTCTAAGATGTTGTCTGTATGTCAGTCTTCTGGGTTTGAAACTTTTTCCATAAATCTGAATAATAATGATAATAATAGTAGTCTATAGACAGTTTTAGAGGGGGAGGACATTCCTTCTGCATGCCTGTCTTCTATCATAAAAATTGTTCTTCCCATTCCTTTAACTCAGAAGTGTTCAAAGAATCCCACTTTATGAATACAGCTTCTAACAATTCATGTAGACCAAAAATTGTGTGGTTCTTATCCTGATCACAAATCCTGACAACCTCATTTTCAGCAAGCCCTACACTGTAGACTCAATTGTGCATTCACCAGTACTGGGCAAATTGGTCATCTCATATACAACGGCTAGAGAGATTTTTTGAGGTCTTGCAATGCCTGAGGTCAGCCATGAGATTCCAACCACTGACAGATAATGTGAATAACATTGATTGTCTCGTCACAATGGCATCTAATGGGAAATATTAGGCAGCAAGTGAACATGTTGTCCCTGAAGTCGATATGGCGAAAGCGGAAATTATAACGACTAGACGACTAGGTCAGAACAACTCCAAAACTGCAGTCTTTGCTGAATGTTCACGATCTGCAGTGGTCCGGACCAACCAAAAGTGGTCTAAGGAAGGAAAACTGGAGAACCAGGGACAGGGTCATGGGCAGCCAAGGCTTATTGATGCACGTAAAGAGAAAAAAGCTACTGTAGCTCAAATTGTTGAAAAAGTTAATGCTGATAGAAAAGTGTCAGAACACACAGAACATCTCAATTTGTTGTGAATGGGACTGTGTAGCCGCAGACCAGTCAGGGTGTCCATGCTGACCCGTGTCCACAGCCAAAGGTGCCTACAATGGGCACATGAGCATCAGAACTGGACCATGGAGCAATGGAGAAGGTGGCCTCGTCTAATTAATCACATTTTCTTTTTCACTATGCGGATTGTTGGGTGAGTGTGCATCACTTATCAGAATTCAGTATGGAAAAAAGGCAAGAGGCAGTGTGATGCTTTGTCCAATGGAGTCCATGCCTTGACGGCTCAGGGCTATTTTGGTGGCAAAAGGGGGATTTACTCAGTATTAGATAGGTGGCCATAATGATATATATATGATGACCCCAGATATATGATCTCAAACAAGACTTGACTTATAAGATGTCTTAACCATTTGCCGCCCGGCCTATAGCCGTTTGGCGGCCGCAAAAATGCATTACCATTTGGCGTCCTCCCGCACATGCGCAGTTCGTGCGGTTGCAGAGCCGCGCAGCGCCGCGATCTGTCACCGGCCGTATACCTCGGACACGGCCGATGACAGATCTGAGTACCGGCCCCTGTTGCCGGTACCATGTGACCTGCTGTGACCAATCACAGCAGGTCACATGACAGTTGTATACAATGGATGGCTTCATTCATGCCATCCATTGTATACTACTGCCTAGCTGTGAATGGTCACAGCTAATCGCATGCACATGTCATGTGATTAGCTGTGGCCAAATCACAGCTAAGCACAAAAAAAAAAAACCTGAATGAATCGATTTCATTCAGGTAAATGCCTGCTTATAGCAAAGTAATTCTTTGCTATAAGCGAATTGTATAACAAAAAAAAAAAATACTGATCACTTCCCCAAAGTAGTACAATGTTACTATGGTAACATTGTACTACTTTGGTCATAGTAAAATATGAAAAAAAAAATCTTAAAAAAATAAAAAAAAGTAATAAAAAAAAATAAAAAAAATATGTATTTTTTTTTCATACTGTCACCAGTCAGTGTCCATGATCACCGCCATGCCAGTTATATGATGACGCTGTACTGCACTGGTGACAGTATGTAAAAAAAAATAGTGAAAATAATTTTTTTAAATTTTTCATTTTCCGAAAAATTATGACAAAAAAAATACAACTTCAAAAAACTCGCCATGCCTCTTATGAAGTACGTCGGACTGTCTACTCTGCAAAAAGGGGTCATTTGGGGATATCTGTACTATTCTGACATTCTTGGACCTCAAAAAAATAGATTCGCCGTCAGTACTTCAGGATTGATCAATTTTCAGATCTATACCATAGTTTGTGAACTCTATAACTTTCCTACAAACTAAATAATACATCCTAATTTGGGTTATTTTCCCCAAAGACATGTAGCAGAATACATCTCGGCCTAAATTTATGAAGAACAATTATTTATTTGTAAACTTTTATAACAGAAACAAAGAAAAACGTGTTTTTTTTTCAAAATTTTTGGTCTTTTTTTTTTTAATTTAGCAAAAAATAAAAACCCCAGCAGTGATTAAATACCACCAAAAGAAAGCTCTAGTTGTGTGAAGAAAATGATTTAATTTTAGTTTGGGTACAATGTTGTATGACCGCGCAATTGTCATTCAAAGTGTGAGAGCGCTGAAACCTGAAAACTGGGCAGGAAGGTGTAAAATTGCCCGGTATTGAAGTGGTTAAAGTTGAACTCCAGGCTTCATGTGGGTGGGGGTTGTGGGGTTACATGCCTGAAGTTCCAACCTAACAACAGTCTTTCCACTGCATAATTTTCATTTTCATTTGAGTTGCCTGTTAGAGTTGAAGCTATCCAAAGAACCTTCTTTTAGGAACTCACCAACTCATATAATTAAAGCCGAACTCTGGGCAGAACAAAAAATTAACCCTTTCAATTGGGACCTGTATACTGTAACGGTTAAGCCAATGCCAGGACAAGGTCATCTAGCGCCCAAAGCAAAGATGCCAAACTGCCCCCCCCCACACACACACACACACACACAAGCACACATTTGCTTTGCAAGCCATAATTCTTCCCAAACAAAATTTCCCCTTCCCCAGAGTGCAGATCCCCCTGCTGAAATTCTTACTCCCAGCCCAATCTTTGCCCAACCATCCCTCCTCCCAGCTCATAGCATCACCCTTCCCAAATCTTCTCTCCTAACAACCCCCACCCCAAAAAAAAAAATCACCAATCCTAACACAAATCCTTTACCCTTCAAAATTCCCCTCGGAGCACAAATTACCCCAGCATAAAATATCCCCATCCCCCTCCTAATAGAAATCACACCCCTCCCCTCAAATTTCTCCATGAGCACAAATCCTCCCCTTCAGCATAAATTCCCACTCCTAGCACAAATTCCCTCTCCCCCCAAATCTCCCCTCCAAGCACAAAACCTCCTCCTCCAAATTTCCCCATGAGCACAAATCCTCCCCCCCCCCCCCCCAGCAGAAATCCACGCTCCGACCACAAATTCCCCCTCCCACACAATTTCCCTTTCTAGCACAACCCCCCACCCCCACCCTAGTCAATTCTGCAAGCACAAAACTATCCCCTCCAAATCTCCCTTCCTTTCACAAATGGCAGGAGGAGCTGGAGGGGAGAGAGAGCACAGCCTGCTCCCCCTCTCCAGATTCGGCTTCACATTCCATGCTAAGCTGACAGGAGTCTTGATGCTGTTGTCACTACTCCTGTCAGCTTGTAGCGGCAGGAACTCTCCATGCGATGCCACCCACCTCGCTTGATACCACAGTGCCTAGGGCCCCCCCCCTTGTCCCGGCCGTGGGTAAATGAATGTGTAGCCTAGGGGGTGGCAGAAGCGGCCATATTACCTTTTTCATCATTCCATTCCAGCTGCTCCTGGTCGCGGTTGTACTCCTGCTTCCACCTCATACAATACAGGGTCAATAGCCCTGCCCTGTAAATGATGACTGAGGCTTTGCTCACAGATTTCAATGTCAGCAAATATTTCAATCAATTTGTTACAAAAAGTAAAACATTTAGAGACATTGGATTGTAATACAGGGATACTTACAATAGGCCGATCCATCAACTAACACCTACCAGCCTCTCCCTACAATTATTCCTACCGGGTCTTAGAAATGCTTTACTATTCTATTAGAAAAGACATTTTAAATATATTTCAAATCTTGTTACAAAAAAAAAAAAATTCTCAAGAAAGCTTTACTTTAATCTATACACTCTTAGCCCTCATGCACACGGGACGTTTTGATCATTTATATATTTTTTTATTTCAGGTACTTATATTGCGCCATTAATTTACGCAGCACTTTACATATATATTGTACATTCACATCAGTCCCTAACCCTCAAGGGGTGTACAATCTAAGGTGCCTAACTCACATTCATACATACACATATTAGGGACAATTAGACAGGAGCCAATTCACCTACCAGCATGTCTTTGGAGTGTGGGAGGAAACCGGAGTACTCGGAGGAAACACGCACAGGAAGAACATGCAAACTCCAGGCAGGAGGTGCCGTGCTGGGAGTACCCAGAGGAAACCCACTCAGGCACAGGAAGAACATGCAAACTCCAGGCAGGAGGTGCCATGGCTGAGATTCAGACCAATGACCCGAGTACTGCCAGGCGGAAGTGCTAACCATTTAGTCACTGTGCTGATAACGCTGGTAACGTTAGTTGTGTCAAGTCACGTGAGTTTTTCAGCTTTTATTAGTGTTTAGCGGCATTTTGCCGCGATTGGCTGCGTTTTCAGGTTTTTTTTTTTTTTGCGTTTTAGCGGGGTTTTTTTACCCAAAAAAGTTTTCATTTTGGTAAGAAAAACGTCCAAAAATGCAGGTTTGTGGCATTTTACTGCGTTTGCCATGTTTTTCAGCATTAGAGCATTTTTACAGCTAAAAAAACTCCTCTAGAAACCCTCTAGTTCATAAATTTAGGCCAAAATGTATTCTGCTACATATTTTTTGTAAAAAAAAATCCCAATAAGTGTATATTGATTAGTAGTAATGGGCCGAAAACACCCCCCTGTTTGGTTCGCGATCGAACATTCGAACCTAACGAAAGTCCGAGCGTGAACTTTGAAACCGGGGCAATTCACTAAGCGATCTGTTACAGCATCTGAGTATGTGGTATTTTTTTCCAGCCAAAACACGATTCCAGTCTGTGTGTGTATGGACACATAGGATAACATGCTGGGGATGGACACATAGGATAACATGCTGGGGATGGACACATAGGATAACATGCCGGGGATGGACACATAGGAGAACATGCCGGGGATGGACACATAGGATAACATGCTGGGGATGGACACATAGGATAACATGCTGGGGATGGACACATAGGATAACATGCTGGGGATGGACACATAGGATAACATGCCGGGGATGGACACATAGGATAACATGCGGGGATGGACACATAGGATAACATGCCGGGGATGGACACATAGGATAACATGCCGGGGATGGACACCTAGGATAACATGCTGGGGATGGACACATAGGATAACATGCCGGGGATGGACACCTAGGATAACATGCTGGGGATGGACACATAGGATAACATGCCGGGGATGGACACCTAGGATAACATGCTGGGGATGGACACATAGGATAACATGCCGGGGATGGACACATAGGATAACATGCCGGGGATGGACACATAGGATAACATGCCGGGGATGGACACATAGGATAACATGCTGGGGATGGACACATAGGATAACATGCCGGGGATGGACACATAGGATAACATGCTGGGGATGGACACATAGGATAACATGCCGGGGATGGACACATAGGAGAACATGCTGGGGATGGACACATAGGATAACATGCTGGGGATGGACACATAGGAGAACATGCTGGGGATGGACACATAGGAGAACATGCCGGGGATGGACACATAGGATAACATGCTGGGGACTTTACTGGCTGTAGAAAAAAACATCAAACGTCAAAAACAGCCGCTGTAAAAACGTCCCGTGTGCATGAGGGCGTAGACCAATGGCCTACTTCTGCAGGGGATGACATAAAGTTATCTCTCTAGAATTGTACATAAAAATTTGTTAGCTTAAAAAGTAAAAAAATTGGTGTTGGTATAAAAACAAAAACTCTTTTCAACTTTATTTCATATCTTACACACCATCCTTTTTGTTTTTGGCCGCTTTTTTTTTTCCATCAAACATCCTCCTTTTCCTCCTGTCAGTTCGTTCCCCACAGTTATTACCTTTTGTACCACTAGCCCCTCCCTCTTAGATTGTAAGCTCCCAGGGTCAGGGCCCTCCTATCCCTCTTGTATTGAAGTGTATTGTTGCTGTATTGTCTTCTGTTATATTGTAAAGTGCTGAGCAATCTGTTGGCGCCATAAATCCTGTATAATAATAATAATACACTATACTCCTGACCCCTGCAAAGTATTCACCATGTTATCTTTTTGATTGTAAGCTCCCAGGATCAGGGCCCTCCTAATCCCTCTTGTATTGAACTGTATTGTTGCTGTATTGTCTCCCATCATATTGTAAAGCGCTGAGCAAACTGTTGGCGCCATAAATCCTGTATAGTAATAATAATAAGTCAAAACACAATGATTTTGTATCACATGATTCACGCATTGTCACCGTGTTCTAAGCCAAGTTAGCACCAGTAAAGTTAGACCATGTTGTTTAGTTCCCTTATAGACGTCGATCCCTATTCTTTATATTGTGAGAACATTCGCAGTTTTTCTTGGCTCCGCGATTATTTTCTTTAGGAATCAACACAGACTTAAAACATTCTTCCGTTATTTATATTGCAAATGAAGCTCCAAAATTAAAGCCGAACTCCAGGCAAAGCACAGAATACACAGACGGAATACATATAACAGAGCGGTTTTTCCAACACAACAAACACTTTTCTCCTGCGCTGGGAATGGACTCAGTAGAACCAATAGGAATGTTCTGGAATATTCTGGAATATGCACTGCTTGCTGCCCTCTACAGACCGGGGCGGTCCAAATACACTGAATGCAAATGGAGAAACAAAAAAGAGGGCGCACCGACCTAGTGCATTATCGTTTAAAAATATTTATCGAAGGAACAAAGTAAGTATCATACAATAGACATCAAAACACAGGCATGTCAAACTGAACAAGATGTATGATCCAAACAACATCTGAGTCCATACGATGAAACCCTGGATAACCAACTTTCTAACGCATTTCGAGTCTTGAAGTGTTAGCTCTGGGAAGAGGTTGTGTCCTCGAAACGCGTTAGCCAGTTGGTCATCCAGGGTTCCATCGTATGGACTCAGATGTTGTTTGGATCATACATCTTGTTCAGTTTGACATGCCTGTGTTTTTATGTCTATTGTGAGTATGACACTTACTTTGTTCCTTCGATAAATATTTTTAAACAATAAAGCACTAGGTCAGTGCATCCCTCTCTTTTTTGATTTCTCAATTTGCAACAGAGCGGTTTTGCCTGGAAAAAGAATTTGTATTTTTCTGTCCATCCAGTCCTGATTGTTTTTTTTTTACTCAGCTCTGTTTTATCTTGATTTCTCGTGCAGATACTGCTAGCCCTACATACATTCACACACACAGGAAAGCTCTATTTTTAGTCCATTCAAGGTACTTATTTTTACCTGTAAAAAGCACTGATGAAGAGGGAGATTTTTTTTTCTGACCCTTGAAACGCGTTGATTTTGTTTTTTTACAAAAACCACTTGTCCTCTGGAAAATGTACCCCCCCCCCTTCCTGACCAAGGCATATTTTGCAACACAGCACTGCACGTTAACTGCCAATTGCGCAGTCATACTATGCTGTACATTTATGTAAAATTACCCACACACATAAGTCATGCGGTATTTTAGTAGTTAAACATTCTTTAATCAGCGGGGTTCACCGATGACAGCTTAATGTAAAAATAATTGCCGGCAATTAAAACAAAATTAAAAATGCATGGGGTCCTCCCCCCCCCCCACCATCCATACCAAGCACTTCAGGTCTAGTATGGATTTTGAGGGGAACCCCCACGCCAATTGTGTTTTTTTTAACCGCATGCCGCCCAGCCACTGTACATATACGGTGGCACTCACAGGCAAAACCACGTTTTAAGACGTGTGTTTTGTAAACAAATAGGGGGCGCACGCGAGGCGCGCTGCCGCCCTATTTGTCCTGCGGATCACCGCCGCAGATGTCAGTCGCCGGGTCACAGCCGCTCCTTAGCAGCTATGTCCCGGCGATCGGCGGCAAACAGTGACAGAGAGCACAGCTGCAGTAGCTGTGCTGTCTGTCACAGTCACTTCCTTCTCAGCTCGAGGATGAGCTGATCGAGAAAGAACAGTTTCTCTTTCTCGATCAGCCTTGTCCGCCCAGTACACACCCCGCCCCCTAGTAAAACACTCCCCCTCACTCAGATAACCCTTCCCTGCAAAATAAAGTTAACCCCTTCCTCCCCAGTGCCATTAGTACAGTGTCAGGTTTTTTTTTTTTTTGCAATGATCACTGTATTAGTGTTTTTGGGGATGTCAGTGACCCCAAGTCAGTACCCCCCAATGTCAAAATGTCCGCCACAGTCCCGCCATAAGTCGCTGGTCACTGCCATAATTCACTGATCGCCGCCATTATTAGTATAAAAAAAACCCCTAAAAGTCCCAGTATCTTTCCCGCCATTTGTAAATGCTATAACTTTCACGTAAAGCAATTAATTTACACGTATTGGGTTTTTTTTTTAGCAAAGACATGTCGCAGAATGCATTTTGGCAGAAATTTATGACTAATTTTGATTTTTGCATTTTTTTTTTACTGGACATGTTTTATAGCAAAAAGTCCAAAATATTGTTTTTTTTTCCTCAAAATTGTCAGCCTTTTTTTTTTATAGCGCAAAAAATAAAAACCGCACAGGCAATCAAATACCACCGAAAGAAAGCTCAATTTGTGGGGAAAAAAGGATGTAAATTTCATTTATGTACCGTATTGCATGACCGCGCAATTGTCCGGTAAACTAGCGCAGCGCTGTATAGCAGAAAAATTTTGTAAATTGCAGTATCTATACCATAGTTTGTAGACGCTATAACTTCACACAAAGCAATCAATATACACTTATTGGGATTTTTTTTTACCAAAAACATGGAGCAGAATACATTTTGGCCTAAATTTGTAACCAACTTTGAGTTTACTATATATGTTTTATAACTGAAAATAAAAAATATTGTTTTTCTTCAAAATTTTTGGCCTTTTTTTGTTTATAGCGTGAAAAATAAAAAGCGCACAGATGATCAAATACCACCGAAAGAAAGCTCTATTTGTGTGAAAAAAAGGACGTAAATTTCGTTTGGGTGCAGCATTGCATGACCGCGCAATTATCAGTTGAATTAGTGCAGCACCGAGTATCGAAAAGAGGCCTGGTCATTAAGGGGGGTAAATCCTCTGGAGCTCAAGTGGTTAAATGGCATGGGGTCCCCCCCAAATCTGTCAGATCCTTATTCCAGTATGCAGCCCAGCAGGTCAGGAAAGTGGGGAGCTTTTACACAGTATACAGTTAGGCAGTTGACTGGACAGGTGTAACCCATAATACATTGCACAGGTGCTAGTGGAAAGGGTCCTACATAGAAAGTACAAGGTGAAACCCTGCTTGGGTCAGGAGTGGTGGTGGTCGAGGTTGCCCTCCTAGGGGTGAAGAGCAGACCTGTCAGGACCCGGATCTGAACCTGCAACCTCTGCTGTGTCTGGCAGTATCTCTTCTTGCTGAGCCACCTGAGATGTTACACAGCTCCCTGGACAGTTCCTTGGACAATCTTTCCTTGAAATCTGCTTCTGGTGAACCTTGAACTCTTTGATCATCCCATTAACTTCCTATTTAAGCCATGCCGTTGCACTTCCAGTTTGCCAGATTATTGTGCTCTCTCTAGCCAATATCTCACTCTTGTCACTCCTGCTGCTGTCTGCATCTTTGCTAACACTTGTTCTGACCTTTGGCTTGTTCCTCAACTACGCTTCTGCTTGATCCCCAACCTGCAACCACTTGCTTTCGACCGTTGGCTTGGTTACAGACCAGGGGCGGACTGACAACTCATGGGGCCCCCCGGGCAATAGGGGATCATGGGGGCCCTGTGTCCTTGCCCACACCCAAAAAAGCCTATGAAAAAGCCAATGAAAGGTACCAGGGACATCTCATAGGGCCCCCCACTGACCCCGGGCCCTCGGGCAGTGCCCTAGTGCTTGAATGGTCAGTCCGCCCCTGTTACAGACTACGCTTTTGCTTGATCCCTACGTGCTATTTCTACTATTGAACCCCGGCTTGCTCACCTCCTGGTGCGGCGATCCTGAGGAACACAATTTGGTACTAACATGCAGTAAAACCCATCTCCATTATCAGGAGCTCTGGTGAAAACTGATTAATGCTTAGGCCACGAACCTCGAGTGAGCCCTCTTCATCCACCAAGGTGACCTGCTTGCATACTTAACCTAATGGTCGGGGGGGGTCTGTCTACTGCTATAGCTACTGGTCTCCAAGCCTGACCCCTGCCCATGATAAGACTACTGCATGAAACACGGGCCAGGTGACATGGGCCCCAGGTTTTCGACTCTGGTGTTGGAGCCTTGACCTGGAACTACAGAGAAACGCATTGGTCCTGCCACGTGAGTACTCCAAAGCACTTATCAGTCAGTTCTACAGTGGACCAGAGGGATGGTGTAGTGGAGAATTTTCCAACTCACCATTCATACACTTTATCCCGGGTCTGCATGGGTTCTGTGGCAGTTGTGGGCTTGGACAGTAGGCCCCTGAATAGCTTTATATTTTGGATGGTTCCCTTAGCAAAGTAGCGTCTGCTTGGAATAACTAGGGGGCCACTTGCAAACACTTTTTATTACAGGCTGATCACAGTTTAACTAAGACGCATACATTCCTTGTTATGGCTGATAAATTCATGGCTATGTGAAACTTCACAGTAATCTTCTAAACTGTATAGGCACTCCTATGCATGGAAGGAATTCAAGGGTCCATGCATCGTAAAGCACGACTGGTACATAGTCTTCATTTCATTACCTCAATGCTAAACACATAAACATGAATAAAAGTACTGGAACCCTTTAAAGAATTTTCCGGTCTTGGGCAGCCCCTTCTAATAATTAACATATGTTCAGCTCATGGGAAATTAGAGGAAACCGTAGGTTGTGGTTAGAAGTTTAATAAAAAAAAATGTGGTGTATTTAGTGTATTTGACACCCTACATTGTCCATTCTGATAAATTATTTTTATTAATAAATGAAATTAAACAAATAATAATAATGGCCAGAGAGGAAATTCAGGCCAAACTGTAGTTCCCCCTTACATAGTTAGCCAGTGTAGTTCCCCCTTGCATTGGTGGACAGTGTTCCCCCTGTGCATTGGTGGTCAGCAGAGTTCCCTTTTACATTGGTGATCAGTGTAGTTCCCCCTTACATTGGTGATCAGTGTAGTTCCCCCTTACATTGGTGATCAGTGTAGTTCCCCCTTACATTGGTGATCAGTGTAGTTCCCCCTTACATTGGTGATCAGTGTAGTTCCCCCTTACATTGGTGGTCAGTGTAGTTCCCCCTTACATTGGTGGTCAGTGTAGTTCCCCTTTACATTGGTGGCCAGTGTAGTTCATCCTTACATTAATAGTGTAGTTCCCTCTTACATTGGTGGTCAGTGTTGTTCCCCCTTACATTGGTGGTCAGTGAAGTTCCCCTTTACATTGGTACTCAGTGTAGTTCCTCCTTACATTGTTTGCCAGTGTAGTGCCCTCTTTGCATTGGTGGTCAGTGTAGTTCCCACTTACATTAGTGGTCAGTGTAGTTCCCACTTACATTAGTGGTCAGTGTAGTTTCCACTTACATTAGTGGTCAGTGTAGTTTCCACTTACATTAGTGGACAGTGTAGTTCCCCTTAAATTAGTGGACAATGTAGTTCCCCTTTGCATTGGTTGTCAGTATAGTTCCCCCTTACATTGGTGACTAGTGTAGTTTCCCCTTATATTGGTACTCAGTGTAGTTCCCCCTTACATTGGTGGCCAGTGTAGTTCCCCCTTACATTGGTACTCAGTGTAGTTCCCCCTTACATTGGTAACTAGTGTGGTTCCCCTTTACATTGGTACTCAGAGTAGTTCCTCCTTACATTGGTGACCAGTGTAGTTCCCCTTTACATTGGTACTCAGTGTAGTTCCTCCTTGCATTGGTGGCCAGTGTAGTTCCCTCTTTGCATTGGTGGTCAGTGTAGTTCATCCTTACATTGGTACTCAATGTAGTTCCCCCTTACATTGGTGGCCAGTGTAGTTCCCCCTTACATTGGTGGCCAGTGTAGTTCCCTCTTTGCATTGGTGGTCAGTGTAGTTCATCCTTACATTGGTACTCAATGTAGTTCCCCCTTACATTGGTGGCCAGTGTAGTTCCCCCTTACATTGGTGGCCAGTGTAGTTCCCCCTTACATTGGTGGCCAGTGTAGTTCCCCCTTACATTGGTGACCAGTGTAGTTCCCCCTTACATTGGTACTCAGTGTAGTTCCCCCCTTATATTGGTAACTAGTGTGGTTCCCCTTTACATTGGTACTCAGTGTAGTTCCTCCTTACATTGGTGGTCAATGTAGTTCCCCCTTACATTGGTGGTCAATGTAGTTCCCTTTAAATTGGTGGTCAGTGTAGTTCCCCCTTACATTGATGGTCAATATAGCTCCCATTACATTGGTGGACAGTGTAGCCCCCCCCCCCCTTGCATTGGTGGTCAGTGTAGTTCTGTGACGGGAGTGACTTTTGGGGGTGGTGGGACCTCTGTATCATCTTCCCAAATTCCCATTATGTTTAAGCACCCTGTGCCTGTTAAGGGTTACAGGGTGTGTATGTGAATGTCTGAGTCTTGTGTATAGTGTGTGTTCCTTTGTCTAGGCCACATGGCTGTCCATTGTCTGTTTGCCAAGTCCTACCCCCCATTGTGCTGTGTCTTCCTGTCCAGCCAACTATTATGGGATGTACTGTTTGTGTATTGGTGTGGGGGTTGGTCAATGTCCTTTGCCATGTGCTTCATCCCATTGTTCTGTGTCTTGGTGGGATGAGGAGGGGTGATGATGTATTTCCTGTCCCTGGTTGTGTTTCCCCGCCCTCTGTATATATCCTGTGTTTTGTGTTAAAATAAAAATAGTTGTTGGCTTCGTGTGTTAAGAAGAGCTGGGTGCTGTCTTTTTCCTGAGGGATTTCAGGGTGGGGTCCGTGGATGGTGTTCGGACAGCGGAAGCTGCGGGATAACGGAATATACCCAAGTGCGGTCGGGTACCGGTTCCGTTACAAGTTCCCCCTTACATTGGTGGTCAGCGTAGTTCCCTTTTACATTGTACAGTGTTCCCTTACATTGGTGGTCAGTGTAGTGTCCCATTATAATGGTGGTCAGTGAAGTTCTCCATTACATTGGTGGTTAGTGTAGCTCTCCTCTGCATTAGTTGTCAGTGTAGTATCCCATTATAATGGTGGTCGGTGAAGTGCTCCATTACACTGGTGTTCAAAGTAGTTTTGCATTAAATTGGTGGTCAGCGTAGGGCCTTTTTACATTGGTTGTCCATGTAGTGTCCCCCTTTATGCTTTTGGCCAATGTCGTTGCCTATTACATTGGTCATCAGTGTATGGCCAGTGTATTTCCCATTTATGTTGGTGGTCATTGTGAGACCTTCTTCCTTCGGTGGCCAATGTAGTGTATCCGTAACACTGGTGGTCTGTGTAGTGCTCTTACATTGATGGTCAGTGAAGAATGGTCCCCTTAGCTTGATGGTCATTTGAGAAGGTCTCCATTAAACTGGTGGTTAGCAGAAGTGAGGATGCTACCCCTGGAAAGATCACTGGTGTTAGTAGTAATTTATCTGATAGGTAGAAATTGCTCTTCACCAAAGAAACCCTGAATAACCTCTGGAGGAACCCTGGAGCTCCACAGAACTTTGGTTTAGAAAAGAAAAGATACAGCAAAAGAGAAAGCCCTGTTCATACATGTTCCCAATCTGTGGAACTCCTAACAACCAATCCGTGTTCCATCTGTCACTAATATAATGTGTAATGTGATTGGTTGCTCTAGATTCTCATCCAAATCCTTACTACTCTTGGCACTGATCTATTGATTATTTCTGTGTGTCCACAACCTCCCCCTCTGTAGAAGATAAGTTGGTGAGAATTGCATTGTTGGACAAGTATTTCACTTCAAAGACGAAAGTCCACTTCAAAGGAAATAATTTCGAATCTGTTACACTCAGCATGGAGATAGCATGAGAAAAATGAGTTTTCCGTAATATTCCCGTGCTTGGCACCACTAAATGTTCACAGACAGCCTGCAGACCTTACGGAACATCTGCACAATTCACTGTCGAATGTTCATGTTCAATGGTAGAAATAGGTTTTATTTGTTGGTTTTATTCTGTAGTAAATGAAGAGCTAGTAAGCAATAGCAGAAAAATAGCCTGTCTAGTTTGTTAATTAAAGCAGAACTTCTCTATCACGTACCTGGTGGCCAGTGTAGTTCCCCCTTACATTGGTGACCAGTGTAGTGGAGGTGATGGAGGCCAATGGAGAGAGGGCTTCCCTTGCGGCTAAGTTCCGGACTCCCCTGAGAGAAGGACAGCGGGAGTCAGACCCAAAGTTGCACAGGTCGCCTGTAGGAGTGCTGGTTGGTGGTCCACTCAGAAGCGCCGCTGGTGCACGGAGATAGGTCTGCAGACAGGAGGCGCCTGTGGGTGGTATGCAAGCCCTTTCAGGATTTGGATGTTTACTGGGTAGTCGGTTCAAGCCAAGGTCAGGTACCGGGTGGGAATCAGAGCGTATGTGGTCAGATGGGAAAGCCGAGGTCATACACAGAGGAGCGAGAGAGAGAATGTCCGTAAGCCAAGCCAAGGTCAGATCAGGGGTGAAACAGAGTAGACAGGTCCAGGAGCAATCCGAGTCGGTAACAGGAAATCACAAGTCAGAACCCCAGGAACAGGGCACGGGGAGCTAGAGATCATCCAGCAACCACAGAAAGTGATCAGCCTCCTTATAAAGGCCATCTGGCACCAGTCTGAGGCTGATGCGTGCTTCTGCGGCCATGTAGAGTATTGGCAGAAACGCCAGATCTTCCAGAACTCCTGCCGTGGACAGGACCTTGACATTCGCTCTCTCTCCATCAACTATTGGTATTTCCTTATGCCGCTAGCACTAATAAGTAGATAGGAAGGAATATTCTGTTTAAATGTTTTTACCACTTGCCTACCGGACACTCCCCCCTTCCTGCCCAGGCCAATTTTCAGCTTTCAGCGCTGTTGCACTTTGAATGACAATTGCACGGTCATGCAACACCACTGTACCCATATGAAATTTTTATCATTTGTTTCACACAAATAGAGCTTTCTTTTGGTGGTATTTAATCGCCACTGGGGGTTTTATTTTTTGCACTATAAATGAAAAAAGAGCAAAAAATTAGGAAAAAAAAGGTTTTCTTTGTTTCTATTATAAAACTTTGCAAACAGGTAAATTTTTTCTCCTTCACTGATGTGCGTTGATGAAACCTGCCGTATGTAGAATACACAGCTCTGTATTTCCAATGGCTTATAATGGCTCTATATATAGCTCAATCTACAAGACAACGATATATTCTACCTGACAGTTACATATCCACCAATAACCTAAATTACCCGGCCCTAATAGCCACGTCTCAGCACTAAAGCAAGCCAAAAAGCTGCGGGGAAAATCTTCCAGGAAACATCACGACTGCGCTAAATCAGAAAGCTCACTCAATCTATACTATAATGCCCAAAGTATTGGTTGGCCGGCCTTTCCACGCACATGAACTTTAATGGCCCCCCAGTCTTAGTCCGTAGGGTTCAATATTGAGTTGGCCCCGCCCTTTGCAGCTATAACAGCTTCAACTCTTCTGGGAAGGCCGTCCACAAGGTTTAGGAGGGTGTCTATGGGAAGGTTGGACCATTCTTCCAGAAGCACATTTGTCAGGTCAGGCACTGCTGTCGGGGGAGGAGGCCTGGCTCACAGTCTCCGCTCTAATTCATCCCAAAGGTGTTCTATGGGGTTGAGGTCAGGACTCTGTGCAGGACAGTCAAGTTCCTCCACCCCAAACTGGCTCCTCCATGTCTTTATGGACCTTGCTTTGTGCACTGGTGCGCAGTCATGTTGGAACAGGAAGGGGCCATCCCCAAACTCTTCCCACAAAGTTGGGAGCATGAAATTGTCCAAAATGTCTTGGTATGCTGACGCCTTAAGAGTTCCCTTCACTGGAAATAGGGGGCCAAGCCCAACCCCTGAAAAGCAACCCCACACCATAATCTCTCCCCCCCCCCCCCCCACACCAAACTTTACACTTGTCATAATGTAGTCAGGCAAGTACCGTTCTCCTGGCAAACCGCCAAACCCAGACACGTCCATCAGATTGCCAGACAGAGGAGTGTGATTGGTCACTCCATAGAACATGTCTCCACTGCTCTAGAGTCCAGTGGCGGCGTGCTTTACACCACGGCATGCGACGCTTTGCATTGCACTTGGTGATGTAAGGCTTGGATGCAGCTGCTCGGCCATGGAAACCCATTCCATGAAGCTCTCTACACACTGTTGTGCTAATCTGAAGGCCACACCAAGTTTGGAGGTCTTTAGCTATTGACTCTGCAGACAGTTGGCGACTTCTGCGCACTGTGCGCTTCAGCATGGGCTGACCCCACTCTGTAATTTCTCGTGGCCTACCACTTGGTGGCTGAGTTGCTGTTGCTCCCAGTTGCTTCTACTTTGTTATAATCCCACTAACAGTTGAGCGTGGAATATTTAGTAGCCAGGAAATGTCACGGATGGACTTATTGCACAGGTGGCCACCTATCACGGGACCACGCTTGGAGTCACTGAGCTCCTGAGAGCGACCCATTCTTTCACCAATGTTTGTAGAAGCAGTCTGCATGCCTAGGGGCTTGATTGTATCCACCTGTGTCCATGGAGGGGATTGGAACACCTGAATCACATGATTTGGAGGGCTGGCCCAATACTTTTGGCAATATAGTGTGTGTCCAATAACCCCTTCACCACCAGAAGACATTGATGCTTAGATGCCCAGAACAAAATAAGCAGCCTGCATTGGTTATCTTGGCTCTACTCTATGAATAAACGGACTACCTTATTCATTTTTAAAGCTTTGTTTTTTATGGGCTTGTATTTGGTACACTCATTTTTCTCTCAGAGAATAGGTGCAGGTACTCCCTTTTCTGTGTAAACCTTTGTCTCCGCCCCTATCAGGGGCGGACTGACAACTCATGGGGCCCCCGGGCAATAGGGGATCATGAGGCCCCTGTGTCCTTGCCCAAACTCAAAAAAAAGCCTATGAAAAAGGTACCGGGGCATCTCATGGGGCCCCCTACTGACCCCGGGCCTTCAATAGGGGATCATGGGGCCCCTGTGTCCTTGCCCAAACTCAAAAAAACCTATGAAAAAGGTACCAGGGGCATCTCATGGGGCTACCCAACTGACCCTGGGCCCTCGGGCAGTGCCCGAGTTTCCAAATGGTCAGTCCGCCCCTGGCCCCTACCCACCTCCGAGCACCGTCCCTTAGTTCCACCCCTACCCACCTCCCAGTTTGGACCTTTTAGAGAATACAGAACCAAGTATCATTTTGAGGTGCTAAGTAATTTGCATTGAATTTGTTATTGACAGAAAAAGCAATAAAATAGATCCCCTGCAGCCAGCAACAGTATACCCCACAGCATTAATAGATTCCCCAGCAACAATAGACCTCCCACGACAGTATACTATCCCCTGTAAGTAACAATATATCCCCTCCATAGACAATATATCTCGTAGCAGTCAGCAATAATAGACCCCTCCCTCAACAGTAGATCCATCCCAGCAACAGCTGACCCCAAGCAACAATAGATCCCTCACAAGCATCAGTAGACACAACCGTTACAATAGATTCCCCAGCATCCAGCCACCACAGACCCCTCCCTCAACGGTAGATCTCTTTCAGCGACAATTGAAACCCCCAGCAAAAATGAATACTTCACAAGAAACAATAGACGCCCCAGTACAATAGATCCTCCAGCAGCCAACAACAATACTTCTCTACATTTCACACTGTGCTGAGTGCTGTTGTGTTGTAGAGTTTTTGTTGTGGGTGGGGAAAACCAGGTGCCAGACTGTCTGGTGGGGGTGAAGGGGGCAGGGATTACTGCCAGGATGTATATACTGAGGTGTGTTCAATAAAGATTCATTCATTCACCCTACACGAAGTTCCGACTCGTGGTTTGGGATATCAGGGAAGGATTGTCTTTGAGCTCTAATACCTGCCTTGGCAGAGCATTGGACGACTTGCCGGAAAAGGAGGGGGACCATTGGCTGAGACATATCGCTCCATACAAGGAAGCCCAGGCAAAACGGTTCCGCCACAATATACATTCAGTGCTGCAGGTGCCGCTGCATTCCCACTGAAAAAAAGCCCTGGGTATACTGCTTAAAGCAACACTCCATTCAAAAAAAAAAATTGCCCTTCCAGAGTGTGGGGTTTTGGAATATTGTGTCTGAGCAGAGAAGACTGGAGTTTTTGTTTTTTTCCAGGTTTTGTAATCTCAGATTGGGGTCTGAAGCTTGGAGACTTTGAAGAGCTGGGAAGAGCTGGTTGGATAGGAGGCTCCAATCCTGTGTCCAGGTCTTTCTGGAGACCTTCAGGCTGTGTTAGTGTGCAGGTGTGCCCAGGCATTATAGGCGAGCCATTGTCATAGCTCAGGGCTCCCATCAGGAGACAGGTGTGTGTTCCAACCAGGAGACAGGAGTACTCCCATTATGAGAGGTGTTCTACTCAGAAGATGGCACTCCATGTTGGAGGAGAGATTCCTTACCCACGGGACCTAGAAACGATAGTAATTCTGGAAGACTGGGAGAGCTAAGGCGACTAGGCAAGTCCAGGGGACTGAGGGACTCTGTAAGTATCGGAGGAGTGAGAGAGCCAAGGTTTTGTAATCCGGGATCCGAACCTGGAACTTCCAGACTTCGATACGGCCGCATTACTCATTTTCCCCTTCAGCGCCAGAAGAAATTTTACCCTAGAGCATCTTTAGCAGCCAGCATTGGTTGGCTTGACACTACTCAATGAATAGTGTCAAGAGAAGATTTGACACGTGGACAAGACTGGGGTTTCAATTTTCTCAGAGTTTTGTAATCCCGGATCGGGCACTGGAGCTTGGAGACTTTAAAGAGATTTGGGTGGGAAGAAGTCTCCAATCCTGTGTCCAGGCCTTGCTGGAGACCTGCATGCTGTGTGAGTGTGCATGTGTGCACAGTCATTTAAATGAGGCATGGCTATAGCTGAGGGCTTCTGTCAGGAGACAGGTGTGTGCTCCATCCAGGAGACAGGCGCACTCCAATTAAGAGAGGTGCTCTACTCATGAGACAACACTCCAGGTTGAAGGTGAGATTCCTTACCCACAAGACCGAGAAAGTGGGGAAAGCTAAGTGAGTCTGGAGGATTGAGAGAACTGAGGCGACTAGGCAAGTCCAGGTGACTGAGCGAGACTGTAGGTCTCAGAGGAGTGAGAAAGCCCGGGTTTTTTAATCCCTGTAGCTTGGAGACTTCAAAGAGCTTTGGCTGGGAAGAAGTCTCCAATCCTGTGTCTAGGTCTTGCTGGAGACTTGCAGGCTACGTGAGAGTATGCACAATCGTTATATACAAGGCATTGCATTAGCTCAGGGCTTCTGTCAGGAGACAGGTGCATGCACCATCCAAGAGACAGATGTACTCTCATTGGGAGAGGAGCTCTACTCATGAGATGGCACTCTGGAGGAGAGATTCCTTACCCACGGGACTGAGAAAGTCGGGGAGAGTTAAGCAG